GATTATCGTCCAACTGATGATTATCGGCGTCTGAATGCTAAAACCATTCCCGATCGTTACCCATTGCCTCACATTCACGATTTGACAGCTACCTTGAAAGGTACAACTGTCTTTTCGAAAATCGACTTAGTTAAGGCTTACAACCAAATACCGATGGCAACCGACGACATTCCTAAAACCGACATCATCACTCCTCTCGGTCTTTACGAATTCTTACGAATGCCTTTTGGTTTAAGAAATGCGGCTCAAACCTTCCAAAGGTTTATAGACGACGTCTTCCGAGGTCTCAACTTCGTACATGCGTATGTTGATAACTGTCTAATAGCAAGTCCGGACAGAGAATCACATCTGGACATTGTTTTCGATCGACTCCAAAGGCATGGCATTAGTGTAAACATTCAGAAATGCCAAGTCGGAACCAACTCCTTAGACTTCTTAGGACACACTATTGATGCCCAAGACATCCGACCCCTTAGAAGCAAGATGGCGGTCATTCTGGATTACCCAGAACCGACCTATAACCAAATTCCTATGGCCACTGACCTCTGTCACCACTCCTACCAGTCTCTACGAATTTTTGCGAATGCCTTTCGGTTTAAGAAATGCTTCCTAAACCTTCCAAATGTTCGTAGATGTCGTTTCTTGAGGTTCCAAGAATGTACATGCGCATATTGATGACTACTTGGTAGCATGTCCGAACAGATAATCCCATCTCCAGCATCTGGATATTGTGTTCGAATGACTACAAGAACACGGCACTACGGTAACACATTCAAAAATGGCTAATCGGAACCAAGTCCTTAAACGTCCTGGGCACACTATTGATGCTCAAGGTATCAACCTCTTAGAAGCAAGATAGCGGCCATTCTGGATTATCCAGAACCGACCACCATTAAGCAATTGCGCACATTTAACGGTCTCGTAAGTTTCTATAGACGGTTCATGCCAAAATGCACGTCCTTTATGAAACTGTTAACCGACCAACTTCGTGGAAATGCGAAATCCATCAATTTGGACGATACTACGAGAAAATCATTCTCCACAATTAAGGAACTCATCCCTAAAGCAACAATGCTTGCACATCAAGATGCCAAAGCACCCATTAGTATAGCAGTAGACATATCCGACTTAGAAGTCAGAGGAGCTTTACAACAATTGGTTAATCACAATTGACAACCTTTGGCCTTCTTTTCGAGACGGTTACTAGACACTGAATCGAAGTACAGCAGTTTCGGTGGGGAACTCCTAGATATGTACGTGCTGTACGACATTTCTAACACTCTATCGAAGGAAGAGGATTCACACTTTTTACCGATCATAAACCTCTTACCTTCTCTTTAAGCTCATCTCCAGACAAGTACTCACCTCGAGAGTCTCGAAAACTGGACTACATTTCGCAGTTTACTTCAGATGTACAACATATTTCTGGAGCACACAATGTAGTTGCAGACGCCTTGTCTCGTACAACTTCCTTGAACAGTTTCCAAGGAATCTACTTTATTAAACTTGTTCAGCTTCTAAAAGAAGAAATTGATCTTCAGCATGAGTTATCCTTAACAACTCTAAGACTGCTCATTAAAAACAGGTGGGAACAGGTAAGGAGCCCCTATTACGCGACACATCAACAGGTGAGGATCATGCAGTCATGCATTGTCGACGCAAAGTCTTCAATACGTTGCAGAAACTTTCTCAACCAGTTTTGCTTGCCTGGTATGGATATAGACGTGAGGGAGTGGACACGCTCCAGTGTAAGCTGCCGAATATCTAGGGTGATTAAACACAGTAAACATCCCTCGGGTTCTTTCAAGACTCCTGATGCCCGTTTCGACCATGTTCGTCTGTATTTCAAAGGACCTTTACCATATTCAAATGGATTCTCTTATCTTTTAACTTGTGCGGACAGTTTCATTCGATGGCCAGAAACAGTACCCATCAAGGACATTACTGCTGAAACAATGGTTCATACCTTCGTCAAACGTTCAGTAGCAAACTTTGGCTACCCTTCAACTATTGTGGTGTGGTCTACTTATATCCATATAAGTAGTATATGGTGTGGGTCAGACATAGAATGTATTTTGGCAGATGACCGATGACGAAAGAACGGAAATGAAGCGCAATCGTATGGAAAATGCATGAGCAATGGAATTAGAGAAGAAACAGTGAAGATTGAAACAATTGGTTGTTAATTTGCAAATTGACTGTTCATTGTTTGGTAATCAGAATTTATTGAGATAGTCTGTAATCTTTGCTTAAATACATTCGATTGTCCCCCAGTAGTGTTTTGTTCACTACACTATCACTAAAAACCGCGGACTTTCCCGCTGTCTGACTACATTACTGTGTGTCACCTGATTTCGAACCCTTTCATTGACAGCTCAAAGCATCATCCTCAACTGTAAACGTTTCACTGTGGACCGACTTTCTTCCACTTCTTTTACTTGGTATTCGCATGCAGTGAAAGCTGACATTGTATACACTGCAGCTCAACTGATTTAAGAAACGACCCTCCAACTTCCGGGAGAATTCTTAGATCTTTCATTTACTTCAGTGAATATGAATCTAAACTTCTACACAAGCAGGCCTACAAACGCAATGCGTCCAGTTAAGCACGTTTCTGTTCGACTACAGTGAACTGATGTTTTTGTTCAACCTGGCTTACCATATAATACACATGTCTTCGTATGTTAAGACTTACATCGACGACCACTCAAATCAGCATACGAAGGGCCCTTTAAAGTTCTTCAGCGTGAACCTAAGTACTATATAGTCGATAAGAACGGCACTATCGATGGCACCAGAATCAACCGTATCAAAACAGCGTATTTAGGGGAAATCCTATTAATGTCGATTTCCCTGTAGTACAGTCGAAAGACATGTCTCCTACACTTACGATGCCGCATCCGATAGCCATCACTCACAATAAAACTTTGGCAGTATCCGAAAATAAACTTAAGACAACGCGTTATGGAAGAAGAGTAAGATTCACAGAATATTTAAACGATTATTGCACGTAAGACACTGATCAACGTTTTGTTTCATCTCGATTTTTCTTTGCATTATGTGTAATATAAAAGTAACCAATTTTAATGTGCGTATATTTACATATTTGTTCTAAAAAACAACAAAATGTTTTGCTAATATACTCGCTATTGTATGTGTATTAAAAAAGTTTTGTTTTCAAAAAAGAAACAGAGAAAGTCACTATATAGTAATCGTTCTTACGCCAACATTCGGTTTTTCTATATTTACCACTGTCTTGAGCTCTTCCACTTTTTTTAGTAGACTGCGACCATTTGTGTAGCACACCTTTAATGCTGTGGAGAACTTTCCATTAGCACCCATAGTGGTTTGGGTATGGTTTGGCTTTGAACTTTTAGTGTGAAAACCCTTAAGGATGAGGTAACTTTCACGGTTTTGGCGGCGCTCGTTTATTTCTACCTCTGCAGCTCATCCCTTAATACGGTCGACCAGGCTGAGATCCTTACGAACGTATATTCTGCATCCAATCAGTTTGAGTGAGTTTCCCAGTATCGGGTTTATTTCTTCAACCGTAGCAAAAGTAGACTTCAAGAGGCGGCCCTTCTGATTACTTCCAGAATCCACCTTTTGTCCTATTCTATAAAGCTTACAGATGCTAACTCTTGAAACGATTCTAGGAGTAGCCTACTTATTATGGACTTATTGCGATTGAGATAGTGCTCCAATGTAGCCTTTGGTTACTTTCAGGGGATTCTCTTGACCTATAACAAATTGCTGACCTATCAGCGAGGTCCGTCTTAACACGCTGTGGAATTTTAACCCCTGAAATCGTCTCTTCACTGCCATCCGTTTCTAATTTGGCGACAGTCGCAGAGGTCACATTCTGTTTTCTTACTTTTATTTTCCTAGGTGTGTCCGTAGGCCACTCATTGACCTCATTTTGTCTCTTAATAAAATCCTCTACACCGCTCCGGAACTGAATCCGTGGATTCGCTTACCTTATAACTATCTATAATATGCTTCTTCTCTGTGCGCTTTTCCGTTTTTCTTGTGACCATGCCTACATCCGTATGCCTGTTATCTACTTCCCTGATGGGGTCCACCTTTGTGGTCTCATTTAAATCCAGAGCTAGGCTCACAATAACGCTCTCTATTTCACCGAAAGCGAGACTATGTTAATCTACTGCTGCCTGTTTATCTGAGGGTAATTTTCTAGCTATATTCAGCAGATCAATAGCCTCTAGAATCAGCAGAGACTTTGTAGAACAACCTGCTATGCACTGTCAGAGTGACAGCGGCTTGCAGCACCTTTTATATGCAGCCGGTGTGAGTCTGGTGCACACATTGTGGCACCACTTATTACAGTTGTCAAATTGCATCCCATCATCGACAGGGAAACGGCATGTAAGTCTGACACAACGATATTTTACCTTCGCCATAAAAAGGGTGTGTTTTAAAGCTTGCGTGATAGGTGATAGACATACAAACAAAACAGAGGTTTGTATATACATGTATCAAAAAACAATATAAAGACAAAGAAAGACAAAGAAAACCCGACTTCAACAGCTACGAAACTGACCTTAACACATATGGATACAAAAAATACTCGAAGATATATTTAAAGAGGAAAAATAAATAACAATGCTTTTTGTATTTTTGTATCTGTACTCCATAAGTACAGATGATAGAACCTCTCTAGAAAAAAAAGCGACACTCTTGGGGGTCGCTTCAACTGAAATATACTCAATTAAACAGATAAAAGTTGTCTTGATGCGTACTTGAACGATGAGTATTATTAAATATACTCAAAGAAAAAATACCGCAATCCTTTTTAAACAACACTGTGCGACCTAGAATGGTTCAAATGGTTTAAATGTTTGAACTATAATCCACATTATCAAATGGATGAAACACAAGTTAGTTTCCGGAAAGGTTGTAAAAGTGGGTAAGTGGTTGATTTATGAAAATGGACTAGGTCGTTGAAAGTTTTTAAAACACATCGTTGACCATTCTTGTAGGTCACATGTGCATTTGCCGCCTTCCTTGAAAGCTGCTCGTAGAATGGTTTATTTGCTAATGAAAGTATAGGTTATATATTCTTATACCAATTAAGAATTGATGGATATTTCGCAAGCACACGGTGGAGATGTTGTCAATATTGCAAATTACTTACTAAATGATTTAAAGGTTTCAATCGTTCATCGTACTCATTATTTGTTTACAGAATAGCTATCAGATCTGGGAAGAACTAATTTCAAAATGTACCAAATTCCATTCAGCTTTAAAGTAAAACTTCTTATTCTCAAACACAACTTCTAGAGTTGCGACCCAGGCGTCGTCTGCATTTTTGGATACATTTCAAAAAGTGGCAGATCTGGCTACGAAGACGCTTGGAGGCAGCAAAGAAATCGGCGCGTGTCTGACCCGATACTGTATGCGCCAGAAAAGCCTAGAATCTAAAGTAAAATCTATGGGCAAGTAAGTACGATTCAGTCCGTCATGTACTAATCTTTATCCAATTGCTATTTTGGTGTGGGGAAATTAATTTATAGCATTGTACATTTGAACGTATGTTTACTATTTACAACCCTGATCCGCCACAAATGTTTGTCATCGTCTGAGGCTTCTTGTTCAAATCCCGAAAATTCCTTAATCTCGATAGTGTGATTAAGTTATGGAACTATTAATCAATGCCTAATATGATTGTCTTTCGGATTGTCTTCCAGTCTAATGATTTGCATAACATGGTTGTTGTTTGTCAACCCGTACCATTTTACTATATGCCTCCTACTAATATGCTGCGAATTTTCTTATTTGCACGGACAAACGCTTGTATAGGTAGATATTTGTTCAGAATATTAGATTTATCTATTTTTGGCTGGTAAAGTGACCTTTCTCCAGTGACTGATTAAATTACTGGTCTATAAATAATCAATAAGGAAGTCTAATCAATGGGTAAGGTTGTTAACGTGCTTAACGTATATATATATCAGTACTCAAAATGGTAATATTTTGGTATAGGCTGCAACTTTTTTTAACAGTTTTATGTGCTTAGATTCGGGCATAATATAAGTGTAGTCTACGAATAAACTTGTGTGCTTTCAGACAACATTTCTGATTCATTCACTTTTAACTTGTATTTTATTCTGCCGTGTACAAAGGATATGCACTGTCACTGAATTTCTTTTCTTAACTTTTTGCCGTAATATAGACTTGTGTTACAGTTGAACTTTAGGATGGTAGTGTTATAATTATTACATACCGATCATGCTTTTCTCTAATCTGTATTTTAGTCATCTGGTCACTAGTCTTGCCAACCCTCTCAATTCGAAAGTAGATGAGTGGAAACGTAATTTGTGTCAGTTAGAAAAAGACCGAACTCGTCAAACTAAGAGAGTGCGCGCAGAATTGAAAAAGGCGCTTTCTGAAGCACAAAAATGGGAAAAGAAGGCTGCTAAAGTTGGTGTTACTGGTGGTAGTGGCGTGGGACCCGGTGTAGGCCATGGTATTATACCTCATGCAAAACATATGTGCTCCAATTCTGAATCAAATGCAATTAGTTTACAAACTGCTAAAGCTGCACGTGAAGTTGGAATCAAGAAAGAATTAGTTGAAAATACAGAGAAATCTGCGATGCGTTTGTTGCTACTTGAGGAACGAAGCCGGTTTTGTTTTTTCGTCTCTTGCCTTCTTCCAATACTTGTAAGTGGAATTCCAACTATCTAGACTTAGTAGTGATAATGTGTGTTGTTTCGTGATGTTCAGTTTATTTTATCCGTGAATAACTCAGTCTCATTCCCGACATTCACTGATTGATAAATCAAAAGAAATTTAAATTTAGACAGTCGGTTGATTAGAACGTATATTTGCATTCATATATCCATATATAAAGTTAGAAATATGGAATAATTTTGGATCCCAACAATTACTATTGCTAAAAATCTTGATTGAGTTTAAAATATGTCGGTGTTTGAAGAATACCAACGAGGAATACTGTACTAATGTAAGCTCATGCCGAGTTTTCCTAAGATAATAAGGGAGAATCAAACTATCTTCAGAACAGTCGTCTTATATGTTTGTGCTTTTGCTTTAAGTATCAACCAACGCATGATTTAAATACATACGAATAATGCTTCTCTTTTAATTTTCCCGTTCGCTTTCGTATTTTTGAGCAATAATTTCTCATAGTCCTGTTTCAAACGACTGAACGAGATAACTGATTGATGAATATTTGTGTCAAGTTGTAATTAGTAGCTTGTGTTTATACTTCTTCCTGTTTATCACCATCCAAATTAACTAGTACTTTTTGTTCAGAAATATTCAAAACTATTTTTACTGTACGTAATAAATTTACTTGGAAATTACTTACTTACGCCTGTTACCTCCAATTGAGCATATGCTGCCGACCAGCATTCTCCAATCCACTCTGTCCTGGGCCTTCTTTTCTAGTTCTATCCAACTTTTGTTCATTCTTCTCATATCTCTCTCCGTTTCTCGGCGTAATGTGTACTTAGGTCGTCCTCTTCTCCTTTGGCCTTCAGGATTCCACGTGAGGGCTTGCCTTGTGACGCAGTTGGGTGATTTCTTCAATGTGTATCCTATCCACTTCCAGCGCTTCTTCCGGATTTCTTCCTCCACTGAAATCTGGTTTGTTCTCTCCCATAGAATGTTGCTGATAGTGTCTGGCCAACGGATCCGAAGTGTCTTGCGTAGACAACTGTTAATAAGCACCTGTATCTTCTGGATGGTGGCCTTTGTTGTTCTTCAGGTTTCTGCCCCATACAGGAGAACTGTCTTGACATTTGTATTGAAGATTCTAATCTTCTTGTTGGTTGATAATTGTTTTGAGTTACTTGGAAATTATGCGTATTACTTCTGTTAGTTTGATGTTCTCCTGATTGTGTCAGATGGGTGTACTTTTCAGAACAGTTTCGTCTTGTGATTGGATAAAAATATAAGCTAGTAGTAGTTTACAGGCTTCCTTACTAACCTACGAACTACACTTCTTGATAGCGTTAATACTACTGATATATAATAGCATTAGCGAATGGAATGGTATTTAAACCTTCAACCTACACCTTGCATGCGGTTAGTGTAATATACCGGTTCTATTTTTGATAGAACACAAGAAAATGTGAAATTTTTCATGAAAGTGCAGCGTTCAGTTTACAAATGCTAATTGTTAATTTTTTTGTCGACATCTTGCAATTTAAAAGTGTCACTTTCTTTTTGTCTTAGGAGTGTCAATCAAGCATGTTACATGAAATAGCCACTATGGATGAACTTATTAAGACTCTAACAAAAGAAACTGAGTTTCCAGATCAGTTGGTTGAAGACGTAGAGTCTATTGTACTGAGGATGGGACGACGTGATTTTTCTGCTTCTCGAGGTAGCAGCAAAATCATGTCAGTTTTCGTACCAGATGGTGGAGATAGGATAAACAACATAAATGAAGTTTTAGGTGGTTTGCTTATGACTAACGGTAATCGGAACTATGTCAATTCAAGTGATACGGAGTCTGGTCGTCACGGGGCCGACATGTTGTCACCATATCAAATTTGCCGCGACTTAGAAACGGTCGGCCGATGCAATTCTGTATGTGACAGTGCTGATATTTCTCTATGTGGAGCCAGTTCACATAGTGGCAGTGGGGGAAGTAATTGTCCATCCCTTTTGTCCCCCGCACGTAGTAATGTTGCTCATTTGGGCAGTCGTGAATCAAGTCTTATTTCCGTGGATAGTGCAGCCTCAGGAAGTGGCAATGCAAATTCTACATATTCTATTGGAATGTCAAATACAAACATACCACATTCTGATCCTGTAAGTCTTTAAGTGATTGTGTTTTCCAGTAACTACTTTCTTGGTTAACGAGATAATTGCACTCCGAACTTACTGTTTTAGTTGTTTCAAGCAGAGTTAGCAAATAATGCTCTTTGTAATTAGTTTGATAAATCTGTCGATAACTTTATAGCCGTGTACAAAACCTACTGATTATGTTATGACTATGAAGTTTTATAGTTTTGGTTTCCAATCAGGTATATTTCTAACACTTAGCAACAATTTCATCGCAAATAACTCAAAGGATTTACTAACCTAGTATAGACAGTTAATTATTCCAACTCGTTTGTCAATTTCTGGTTCGTATGCTCCGCTTTGAGTCATGTGTATTGGTTCGTGAAATTTCCCAACTCCTCAAACTGAGTTAGGTTTGATGGGGTCTGAACCTTCAGCCTTATGACTGACAGTTCAAATCTTGCTTCATCTGATAAAGTTTAAGGAACTGAGTAGCACAGAAAGATTTATATCCTTAGTCCAATGAAATTCATTTAATTTTGAATATTGAATATGAGTTTGCACATAGTAGCTGGTTTCTAACGAAAAACACTTACTATCCTGACATCTTAGACCTTAAATCTAGTTTATTTCAATGCGTAACACTTTTTTTAGCCTAACCGATGACAGTTCTTGGAAATAAACTTTCAGACATCCTTTTTTGAAAATTGCATTCTCTCCTCTTGTTTACGTATTTCATAAATTGTCTGACCACTATTCACAGGTTTTTGTCACTTTACTTGCTTTTTGTCTGCACTCATTTAAGAAAAGTGTGCTATTGAAAAAAGCAGTCTGAAGTTGCTGCTTCATATATGATCGTAGTATGCAAACTATCAAACTACAGTAAACACAAGTAAGGCCATGTAAATACTTTCTTCGTAGCCTAGAACTTTTCAATCTGTCTACCAAATCGGTCGCCGTTTACACTAACGTCAACAAAAAAGTAGAGTTTGAAAATGCGGAAAATATTTTTGCATTTCGTAAATACATATATGTATATTCGTGATGTCAAATATATAAAGTTATAGTCCCTTACTTTTTATAAGAAAAAGACAAAACATTTTTCGGTGCTTGTGTCAGGTATCATTGTTCTAAAAATGAGACATTCTTTTTTTATTTTATTCTAAACATCTTCATCGTCATTTTTATCTGGCACATAGTTCAGTCCAATGCGACTGTACTGGTAATACATGAGTGCGTGTTGACTGTTTAGTGATTCAACGAAATTGACTACTATCTTCTCTCAAACTAATTAGTCGTAATAGAAACGTCATGTTAGTGCTTCCAAGTATTATATATATAATATTTCTAAATACAGCAACGAGTAACTCCGCTTCAGAGCATAACGAAAACCAGCCTGATTTTAGACGCATGTTAACAAGCTTTAAGGCTGGTTATGTGTCTTTTGTTAGTTATATGAGATAGTTATCTTCTAGATTACAGTAATAAAGCCTTCAAGCAGAATAAATTTCTTAAAAAAGCCATTGCGTCACTGAATAAATAATGAAGGTAATTCAAAGCAGATTTTCTTTGGAATGATGTCTTTCTATTCTTCAATAGACTCATTTATTAAGCCACTATAAATGTAATTGCTCAGCTTCAGTAAATGAATGAGATCTGATTTTAGTTGGGATTTAAGTTGGTTAACAACATTGTATTATATTATAAAATATTCTGAAATCAAGGCGAAAACGTCACTAATTGGAATTACTATTTTTGATTACTAAACAATGTTCAATCTTTACTCGATGGCTTATTAATTAAGACGTTCTACTTCCTGCCATTAGGTTCTAGGTTCGAATCCCGCTCCACTTACTTCGTTTCTTCCAGTCGGATAGTATCATTAGCCTTTACACTTAGAGTACCAATCACATTCAAGTACTTAGTAAGTAAATTAATCAAGAAAAGTATGTATTGAATTTCGTAAAATTTCGTATACTGTACATATTATATCAATTATACTCTGTCCTATATAATAAGAGATGATGAAGATATTCATGGAAGGAGCAAAGGGAGTTTAACATAACTTGGTAACAAACTAATTTCAACAGTTTCTCAGGATTACATATCTTTTTTCTTATTTTAGAAAACATCGTAACTATTGTTTGCCAAATTCTGTTATTTATATTTTTAATAATAATTCTCACGAAAATTCAAAGATTCACTGTGTGTTTGAACGCTAAATGGTAGTTACTTAGATTTGTTAAGTAAAATTTAGGTGTTGTAAAGATATATTTTTCACTATTGTCTGAGGACATCGATCCATTACCACCACCGATGCTATCACTACTACTACTACTAGCATTAGTAGCAATAGTAATGATAAATGTTACCATTATTTCACACAACATACAAATGACCTTAAAATGTAGTATTTTTCGTTGTTTCGCAATAAACTGTTAGCTAATTTCGTAATAGTAAAGAACTTATGATCTGGTAATTTGTCTAACGTTGAAAAGTCATTACTTTATGCTATGTAAAATTTTTGAATTATTTTTGTCGTTAAAAAGTCAAGTTTCAAAGCCGTATACATTTATGCTTTTTACTAAAATCTTTTAACTAACGGGTACTGGAGTTGTTGGCCTATGTTTTTCTGCTTCAAGCATATTACAGTCAAATAAAGCGCTAAAGGTTTTGATATATATATATATATATTATTTATTTATTTATTTATTTATTTTTATTTATTTATTTAAACACATAAATATTGGTACAAGGAAGCATTAGATAAATATGCTCCTCACAAATAGCATTTGATTTGTGTGAGGGCTGTGATACTGTCCAGGTGCCCAAGCTGAAACAGGTTGTTTTCTTAGGGGGCCACACCTCGAGCCTTTGACCTGAAGGTCTAGTCCACAAGGTAGTGAAGCATCGTAAGGAGATGCAGTCCCATGGTAGCCGGTGATCAACGATTGATTCGTACGCCATTTGTTCCCTCAGGATACTGGAGCCCATGTGCACCACTGGTTTGGAATCAGGGTTTTCCAACTCCCCTAGGTGAACTTTCCGTGTCCACTGGCCCGGTTAAAGCGCCGAACATTCGCTTTTCGTCCTCTAAATTTCGTAAACAACAGTAATGCCACGAAATGGCAGTGAGTAGGACTTCCCTGTCAGAGACTATATAGGCGTGTTCATGTGAGAGCATTTGGAGAGGGAGAGCGAACTCTCCCCACTCTCGGCCGTACCAGGGCATTTGGGGGTTCACTGTCTTGTGGGTCAGACCTTTAGGTCAAAGGCTCCGAGTGTGGCCCCCTAAGAAAACCGTCTGTTTAAGTTTGGGCACATGAGCAGTATCACAGTCCTCATACAAATCAAATGAGATTTGTGTGACGCATATATTTCTGGTGCTTCCTTGTACCAATATTATGCTGATCCTGTATTTCCATTATTTTTACTGTTACTATTATCAATATTACAACTTTGCAAGAATTTTCGTCTGGATGGGTTTTTAGTTTCTTTAAATTATTTGAGTACATATAAATCACGCTGAATAACTTCATTATATATATATATATATATATATATATATATATATAGGATAACTAGTCCTCTGTGTGTGTACAGTCTTTCAAACTTACCTGTGATTGATGCTTTTTACCTTGTAAAGTGTACCACTTCATTAAGTATTTATAAGTTGTCAATGAGTATATGTGCATTTCATAAATTCTTTAAATTGCTTATACGTTTGTCAAAATTCTTAATATTTATCAGTTTATCATTTGTATTCTATAAAAATAACATGTATTATAGAACTTTCAATAAGATTAATTATTTCTACATTGAAAAAACATGACATTATAGTTGCCAAGGTGAATGAATATTGGTAATACAACAGTTTTTATGATGTAGGAAATAAATTGTCAGATATAACAGGAATAAATGTAATCGAAGGTTAAAAAGTTAGACGGCAAACAAACAAGCAAACAATGTACTAAACAAATATAGACTGTAATTTATAATGCATAAATTCAAATTGATTATACGATTCTTTTATAATTCAATGACCATCTGAAAGTATGTTTTTTTTAGGTTGCAACACTATTCGTGGGACTCATGAGTAACAACCACTTTTGATCTAGAACAAGAAGAACTCTTGTTTTATTTGTACTAATCAATAAATATCCCTGTTAATGAATTTATTTATTTATTTATTTAAACACATGAATATTGGTACAAAGGGGCACCAGATACATATGCACCGCACAAATCGCATTTGATTTGTGTGAGGGCCGTGATGTTGCCCAGGTGCCCAAACTGAAGCAGGTAGTTTTCTTAGGGGACCACACTCGGAGCCTTTGACCTTCAAGTCCGATGAATTACCAAGTTATTGTTATCCTGTGTATGTGTAACTGAATTTCATGGGTCTATGTAACAAGTCAAACTTAACAGCAGAAAGCTTCTAAAACAGACATTTTGGTTGAATTATCAGTTTCGTAAGTTGTCATCGTACGGTTTCTCTTATTTACTTTAGGCTTATGATGATTGATACACGTTTTTTTTTAAAAATTTTCTATAAAGAAATCTTTTGAGTGAAGTAATTTACTCTTCTGTTACTTTGAGATATTTGTTTACAATACACTTATTTCTTTTGTAAACTGTTTCAAAATTAATAATTAATTTTTATTGAGTTCTCTCAGGTCAGTTCTCATAGCCGTGATATCAATAAATTTTACATATGTAAATAAAATTTTCATGGAAATGATTGTTCTCAAATATTATTTCGTTGTCGATGGAAGAACTTAATTTTTATAAATATTCAAACTGAATCCCTCTCGTTCTGTGCTAATCTTCACTTTATGGTCTCATTCATCCACCGAAATTTATACATAAAGTCGCCGATTTTTGTGTATGTATCATTTGTTCAAATTATGTTAGGTCCTTCTTATTTAATGTGATTAATAGGGTTTCTTACTTTCCTGTTACTGATGATATTCAAGAAATATAACTTCATACAATTAATAGAAAATATTAAACCGATTGAAAAAATT